ACACTAAGTCTATCACACCATAAGTGAGGACTTAGCTTTCATTTGCATAATGATTAAAGCAAACTCACAAATCATATTTTATGCAGGTAATAATTATCTGCAGCATTTATGCGAGCGGTGGTTTATAGCTGATGGCCTCAGCGCCAGCTTTCCAAGTGATTGGTGATTTTGGACGCCTCTGGTTTGAGCAGTCCATTCCGACCTCATCTCAGATGTGCTTTGGAGGTCAGCACTTTGTGAAATTGAAACTCCTCTGAAGGTACCTTCCTGTGCATACAGAAAATCACTCCTTTGCTTTGCTCAAACCCCAGCTGTCGCTGCTCAGTCTCATGACCATATATGAGCAAGAATCAAGGAAACAGATCTGCAGGCCACAAAAATGCTAGCAGGGTGTGACTGTTCTAGTGCAGGAACAATACTAGGGTGTATAACTCAATATACAGAAGAAAAATGACACAAACCAAGGCAATCCAAACAAATGTCACATCCCTCACAGTTTTTGCTTGCATCACTGGGACTTGCTGCCAGGTAAACCCAAATGTTGGGGCCTGAGTGTTCATCAGAGCAAAGGTCAATCCTAAGGCTGGTGTCTTATGACTTGCAGAAGGAAGGAGAGGATGTAACTCTTGGCCTAACTCCCAAGCTTTTGGCAACAAGCATTTAGCAATAATTCGAGCAGGAGGCTGCATCTGGGCCCAGAGCTGTCTCCATGGGCTGGCCTTCTGGTGATTTCTCACAGCCCTGAGGGTACCCCTACAGCTCGTGCCAAGGAGGTGCATGACCTCAGTTATTTTCTGGGGAAAACGTATCTCAGTACAGTACCTCAGACTGGTTTGGTGTTCTTGCTTTGTGTGGAGTCTCAATGGGCTGAGATCCTCACCCTCAGCCAAGAAGCCCAAACCCTGGAGATGGCCTCCTCCAAAGGACCTCATCCATCCATAGCTCTTCCCACTCTTTGGACTTTTCCCTGTTCTACTTTGTGCTTCTGAGAGCATAACGCACATCTGTAAAACAACCAGAAGAGGGCCATTCACATTGCCTAGAGGCATTCAGGAGCACTTGCAAGTACCTTCGCACCAAGTACTTGAGACCAGAGATGAGTCTGCAGATGTGAAAGCCAAATGGACTTCCAGAAAATAAGACTCCAGTTCTTCACTGCAGCTAGAAGCATGGAAGCCAAGAGGGAAACAACTTAAAAGCACACTCAATACGTCAGCGTGCATGTGCTTCCCACTGCTTTTCCTGGCTGTGTCTCAGTTCAACACAGCACTGCACTTTGGGCCAAACAAGCATTAGAGCTATCTGGTGGTGGTGGGATTGTCATGCATTGATGTGTTCAAAGCACATGAATGAAATGCTGGGGCCAGCAAAGACAGACCACAGATGATGACCACTCCTGCTCAACCTCCAGAGCTTAAACCAAGGTGGCCATTTGACTCAGTTCTGAGGTTTTACAACATGACTGATCTGAGCACTTAAACCTCTCTGCCTGGCTTTGCTACAAGTTAAAGCCACAAAGTGCAGCTTTAATTTATACCACAAGAATAACATACTCAGTTGTTCCACTGACAGAGAATCACACGTCTCAGAAATATCTTTCACACTTTTTGCAACAGGCCTGATGGCTGACAAGAGGATGCATTGGCCAGCAGTGCCTCTTCTTGCTCCACAGCAGACCTCCATTTCCCCTCTGGCATTGCAAGCAGCAGAAAAGTCCAAAAGGAGCCACCAAGGCACAAGAGACAACACAGTTACCCTGTCCTATTTCCCAGCCCACACACATCCTCCTTCTACCAGGGGAGAGGGAGGCAAAGAAGGTGGATTTCCCCTGCTCCCCATTGACTCTACACAGGTAATCCAAGTGCAGAGGCTTGAAAACAGTACTATTTTGGGATGACTAGATCTGGTAGGAAAAAATGACCATGGGAAAAATTAACTGTTAGAGCAATTTTCCTCCAGATTGGGTAGTAGGAAACATACACCGAGGCCAGCAATGTACCCTGAACCCCTAGAACTGGGGCAGGCACTGTTCCCATAGAAGAGAACTACAGGATGCTCTGCACCCTACACTGCATCACAGCAAATGTGTGTACAGAGCCTCAACTCTGCAAGCACAGAAAGCAGAACAGATACAGACAGACTAACATGTTTGTTTCAGGTTGTGTGAGTAACTAAATGAATATGCAGGCAGCCCATAAATTCTTTTCAGCGATGCCTTGGCAGGGCGCTTTTGTTCACTCACGCTCACAGATTTCTCACACAGGAAAGGTGAGGCAGAGAGCTGTGTTTTATGTGCTGCAGATAACAAATTGACTGAGAGGTTTATTGATGGAAATGTGATAAGCGAGAGTGAATGTCAGCACTGAAATGATGGTCCCACTTTCAAAGAGTGAACAGAAAAGACTGTTCAGCTGGCTTTGTAATCATACAGCATTCTTTTTCCTAGCTGCAGTAAGGCATCACACAGTGTCTCTCAGCTACATAGAAATAGGGACAGATACAATAAAAGATCACTTCCATGTAGAATTTTCAAGTGCCCATAGGACATGTTATTGCTTCAGATGGTAGCTAACACTTTCAATGACACTAAGTCAGGTAGGAAAGTTTTCCTCTTCGGATGACTTGGATCTCAATCTGATGGATATTTAGGCAGTTAACTCCTGGTAAGGCATTCAGCTTTCACTGTTAGAGAAAACTAACAAAATTGGATAATTAAATAGGAAAAGCATATCCAGAATCTTTCTGTATCTGGATTTTAGGAGTCCCAGTCCCCACAGTCTTCAACTTAAAAAGTGCTACAAAAAGCCAAAACTAATTGCCAAAAACTGAACTGCAAAGCATCACAGAGAGATCTACAGACAGACATTCTCACTTCTACTACAGCACCCAGGACTTTTTAACAGCCTCTCAGGACCAGCATCTCAGTGCCAATAGCCCAACACTGCCTCAAACTGGGCTGCACAACACAAGACTTAACTCTTGGCTTACCCTGGGCTATCATCAGTATGGGACCTGCAGCTCTATGCTTCATTTGCAATCCTTAGCACCCAAATTCTTATTATACAATCACAGAATCATTAAGGTTGGAAAAGAGCTCTAAGATCATCCAGTCCAACCACCAACCCACCCCCACCATGCCACTAACCATGTCCCTCAGTGCCACATCTTCACAGGTCTGGAACACCTCCAGGGACAGTGACTCCACCACTTCTCTGGGCAAATGATAAAAGCTGAGAATATTAATGACTAAGCTAAGAAGGAAACACCACAGAACTACCCCTGATATTTCAGCACCTTTATTTAACAACGTCCATGCAAAAAAGTGTTCAAGCAACAGTTTTCCCTTTTCCTGGGTTATCTTAAGACATTTTTACCATAGGAGCACAGCTTGTCTCCAGGACCTACTTGGAAGATGACCTTTCAGTACACAAGTGTGCATTGGAACATATGGCCCATCTTTATCTTGGCACACCAAGGGGGTCAGCAGAGGTCACTCCCAAACCAGGTCACTGCTGCCACACACCTGCTGGCCAGCTGGAGCTGCTCTCGTTGAGCACAGCAGGCTGCAGAAGGGACAATTCCACACATAAGGGACCTCTGTGGACAGTTTACAAAACTTCAGACCACTTCTACTTCTGACTCCTCAATACACTCTGCCTCTGAAGACCTGTTTGAGTAACCACTCTGAAATGTAGGCTTCCATTTAAGCTGGAGGGGTGATTGCACTTTACATGTCAATAGCACAAAGGGTGAATTTTAGTGTTTATGGTTTCTGAGTCAGTCTGGAAGTGCATGGAAACGTTATAGTGTTTCATTACTCCTATAACTCCCTGTCAGCAGAGAGAGCTGTGGCTGTATGATACACTGACAGCACTCTGAAATGATATATCCCTGCAGCACCAGCACTGCTCAGCAAACTGGAGTATCAGCCTCACCAATGATTCTTGCAAAAATGGTCATCAGATGATTCATGCAAGTTTCTTCTTCAGGGAAAGAACAGATGGGGTGGATGAATGCATCAAAGGCAAAAAAAAAGCCACAGTAGACACATTTTCTATAAAGCCTCCCAAATTTGACTTAGCTCTCATGGACTGTGACAATGCACCTGCCAATACAGTGCTCTCCTGCCATTCCCTAGGGCCTAACATAGATCATGGCCTAATGTGTTATGTGTACTGAGTGAGGTCAAACAGTCCTGGGGTTCCAGTGATACTGATGACTTGAGAAAACAGAATTCACATTTCTACTTAGCAGTAGGCGATTCTACATGACCCTGCAGAAAGTCATTTACAGTCATTTGGGGAACAGCAATTCTGACACCCAAAGATGCTGTAGGATCAGCAGTTATTAGTTTGTCAGCCACTTTGGGTCCATTTCTACAATTTAGCAGCATCTAAGCTCACAGACAGTGTGAGACACTCTGTGCCTCTATAGCCCAGTACCCCTGAGACACCTATTGATCCAATGCAGAGATATCCCATAAGTTCTCTGTTCTCTGTGCCTTTAGGAAGGAGATAGGACTTTGAGAGTTAGGTTTAGGAAGGAGATAAAACTGTGGAGTTTTGACACCACAGGATATGTAGAACAGTCAACTTGCATCAGGCCCTTGCCTTTTTCTGCTCTTTAAGTAGACACACATTTGAGCAACATGAAGAGACAGTCTGGACTGAAGTATCTGCCCCTGCTGCCTACAGCTCCTGAGCACCAGGAGTTCTAAGTTCTGACCTGTGGTTAAAATAGTAATTACACATAGCCTCTGGTGTTCATGGCCATAAAAGCACTTGAGAGTAGGCATACATCACAGTTTTACCCACTTACAGGCAGCTTATTTTACCAGCAATCTGCATACTAGTCTTAGTTCAATTAGAGACACTAAAAAAAATCCCCAGTCCCACTGCCTGGAAGCACTGCTATCAATATCAGTAAAATAAAAGACGTTAAAAGAATAAAGCACTAGTGGGAAAGCAACATGTGTACTGGCACTTAATGCTTACCTTCATTAATATTTCTGATGTAGTGGCTTGGAGGAGAGATAGTGGAAGTGTTGTTTCATATCCTGCTGGTCTTTGTGGCCTGCAGAGCAGACAAGGGTGGGCTCTTTCTCCTGGTGCTGATTCATGAAACACCATCACTTGGAGCATCCTAAAAACTTCTGAGCAGATCCAGTCACATGGGAGACATAATGGAAATAAGGACCCACTGGGGAGTTTCCAGCCCCATCCTTATCAACCAGTCTGAAATCGCCCTAAATACATCCACTCTTCCTAGCCAGTTGGACAATCCTGCAAGAAACACAGAATTCTGAAAGGCATTTGTGGTGACCCTTGCAGACTGGATAACAACCATCCATGTGGCAGATGTCCAACATAATTCACTGATTTCTGGCATCAGGATCCAGTCACTGTCTACTGTGCTATTGAATTATATCTGCTTGCTTTTTGAGAAGCACTTTGAGACTGGCAGAATAAGACCATGTGCATAATAAATATTGTAAATAACTGTTTAAGTAAAATGTGGAGTTCCTAAAAGAAAAAAGTAACCCAAAAGAATAGAGATTTTGGAAGTGTGATCAAATGGAACTTATCTATTAAGTAGATACTAAGTTCAAAGGACCAATTACGTACCACTTTCCTCAGCCAAGTTAACTGCCCCACAAATACTGGAATGGAAATACCAGATGGAAATAAAATTGAGGACTCCAATGAGTAGGATAAATGTCCAACTGCATTTTTCGATGCCATGAAAAATCTAGAGAAAAGCCAAAGTGGATGGACTCCAAAACATTTTAAGTTATTGAGACATGATTAGTGCACAAATGACAACCTGTAAAGCTGTCACCAACACACCTTGGAATATGTGACAACTCAATTAAGAGATGATAATCATTGCTTCAGGAGAGAAAAAGGCAAGAAAGTGTTACAAAATGTTTCACTTTACTGAGTAATTTCTGTGTGGGCATTTTAAGAGATCTGTTTGATCCTCTTCTGATTAGCTGTAGTTGAGGTAAAAAGACAGCCATGGAACAGAATGGCTTCACCTCACCTGAAACCAACATTGGTAATGAAGGTGTCTGGTCAAATAGGACACTCATTAGGTACCCTCTAAGAATAGAACAAAGTGCTGTGAGATGACATGCTTTTATCTCCGTTGATGGTAGGAGGAAGTTGGTGGCTAGGAACTAGAGCTTGAGCTGTGAGCAACTTTAGACTTTGGTAGAAGAAAGATAGGTAGGGCATAATTAGATTCAAAGACTTTACAACCGTAAGCTTTGCAATATTGTTTCAATGTATTAAATTGCTTTAATATTCCATGAAGATAACAAAACAGAGAATCTTGTGCTGTGGTTAGCAAAAGGATTTGTGTCATTCCTTCATTAAAGAGCAGCCTCTCCACCCTGTAGAAATGGCTGGCACCTTTAAGTTTTCATTTAAACTTCTACAGAAAGTCAAGATTATTCTTTTTCCCCTTGAATCACCAGGGTGACACAGTATCTCCTTGACTAGTTTGGCTACCTCTCTTGATGAAAGTCATCTCTTCTTGTGCTTAATGGCTGCAGGACACCCATACGGATATCCTAAAGTTATTCCTCCATCTTCTCTATCATCTGCATCTGTTGCACAGCCCACATGAAGAACATGGCCAGCAGAGAAAACCAGGGATCCGAAGCACCTCAGCTGCATCATGCATGAGATTCTCCTGCAACCTATACATGAGACAAAACCACATCAACACACACCCACCAGGAGTGACAAACACCAGGCAAGGCATCTGCTGCATGCCAACTATGTCATACCTGAAAGAAATGAAGTAAGTTTACCTTTAAAGACATTCAGCATTGCAAAACTCACAGTTTCCAGATGTGTCTTTCATGTTCCTTCCTGAAAATGGATGTCCATCCACCTTGCTGGCATATCCCATTTAATGGAGGAACTGATCCACAGTTTACAGAAGCCAACAGAAGCACAAAACTGGAGGAATTTTCTCCTGAAAGATTTTGGATTCATTTTTAAGAGAGATTTTTTTTTTTCACTCTGCCAGATCCAAACTGCAGTGAAAGGTTTTGTTTCAATTTTACCAATCAAAGTTGAGTATTATTTTTTGCAGAAACTGCATTTTCCATCGAAGACATTTTCAACTGACTACTTCTGATCAACTTAAATTTTAAGGCTGTTTTTAACATTACCTGTCAGTAACAGGATTGGTTTCTGGATATACTCTGTTCATTTTAATTTCTCTCTAAGAAGATATAAAATCTGATGCAGTTTGAAACTTCAGTAGTATTTTTATTGAATATTGTGATAATAGATCTGCCAGAGACCAAATTGTTTAAACAAACTTCCCAAGACCTCTCTAATGATATCTCCAGGGCTGCATTGAAATATTGGGCAAACAAGTTACTCGACTTCGTAGTTCAAGAAGGATTTCTTAGAATTTTTATTCGTATAAACTTAATGTTGTCCAGACAAACACACTAAGTATTTAAACCATGTAACAGTTTAAATATCCAGTTTAATAATCGAGTGTTATTTGTGTTACCTGGAAGTGCAGAAACGTATATGGAAATCATCTCACTAGGAATGGGAAAAACAAATTGCCCTGCTCTCTTCCTGCTCTTTTGGGACAGCCTTCATATTAGGAAGGTTAGAAAAAGATCATACAGTGAAAACATATTCTTTCTTCCAGTGCTGTTCATACAATTAAATGTAGTTTCAAATCTGAAAACATATTTGAATAATGTGAGTAACTAGCATATTAAATAAGCTAGTTTTGACTCTCCTAGATCCAAATCTGGACTGTGCTGTTAGAATAAAACCTGAGCATTAAATGTACAGGAGGGCCTAATGCTAAAAATAACACCCCCAAAAAATTACTGTTTCAAGGAATTTTTACCCCAAGTCACTTCGGCAACACAGCTACAACAAGGCACCACTGACAGCTGTCTTGGCATAAATCAAAGCTCACAAGAAAGTGCTGGAGTAAGAAGGTGTTTCTCAAACCAGTTTTGACAACCAAGCCAGTGCACCACGGACAAATGCTCCCCTGGAGAACTCCAGGAGCTGCAGGAGTCCAAATGAACCTCAGTTCCCCACTCCAGACACAATTCATTATTAATTCACAGAGCATCCAGCAAAGAGCATGCAGGGCATGAGTTCTGTTATAAGGACACTTGTCAGTCAGCGCTGTACCTCCAGATCAGCACTGGTGTGACACAGAACTGACCATGGCTTGATCTCCTTAGCCACCTCTGTCGTGCCAAAGCACAGCCCTCTCGAAAGCAGACATCTTCCATGTTCCATGGCTGCTGCCTTACAACACAGCATAGCACAAAATCACATTCAGCTTGGTAGGAAACCACTTCAGCTCTCCACTTCCCATCCATGACATTCAGAAGGGACTTTCCAAGGGACTGCACGCTCCATTAACAAGGTTACCTTTCCTCTTTGCAGCCTTGCTGGTACCACTTAACAGCAAACAATGAAAACAAGAATTTGCTGCCAAACCTCCTGCAGGTTTTTTGTTAGAGAAACATTTACACTGCTCACAAGTTCAAACAACACAACAACTTTTATGGATGTATGACCCCATCATGGCTACTCCTGGCCTAGTGCTTGTCCTGGCCAGGCTGCAACACTCTGAGGCCTCAGGGACACATTGCACCTCTCTGCCACCAGCAGTAGCTGCCCCACGCTACAGAAGGCAGAGAAGCTCCAAACCCTGCTGCCCAAATCAGCATCAGCCTCACAGCCTCTCCCCTAAAACTCTTTGGGATGCCCAGCCCTCGCCAGCCTGCACTTCTTCACAGAGTGCTTCCAAGTGCACCACCATGTGGGAGGGGATTTATTATTGTTTATTACTGTATTTGTATTATTGTATTCTTTCTATATGAAAAATAACCCAGCTAGCAGTCTGACTGCAGCCGCCCATGCTCACATAGGCCAGGCCCCATTTGCAGTGAGGCCATCGGGACCAGGGCCAGGAAAGTTGCCTCAGCTCAGTGGGGAAGCGCTGAAGGTTTGCAGCAGAAGCCCTTTGCAGCAGGTGATTTCAGCAGTGAGCAAATTCCCAGAGCAGAGCACTTATCTTAGAAGCAGAGAGCAGAACGCACAACATTAGTCAGCTTTCTGAGTGTTTCTCATCCCCTTCTCAGCTGGAGAGGCACAGGACATTCATGTTACACTGTACCAGAGATGCTGATTCACAATAGAAATGAGTAATCAATCAATGAACCCACGCCATTCATCTTCACTGGGACCAACTGCTGTGACCCTCTGCAGAGGTCCAGGACTGGAAGAACCCTGCTTTGGTGGCTGAAGAGTAGCCTAGCCTGGCCCATGTCTGTCTGCATGGGCCAAGAGGGAGGAAGGCTCATCGCCTCAGCACCTGAGCAATGTGTCGCGGCTGTGGGGGGATGTGTAGAGTATCATGAGCCAGGCTACTGCAGGAGCAAAGTCGCAGCTTTTTACCCTGGCAATGAACTTCTCTCATTTCCATTTTCATTGGAATATCAATTTGCATTTATTAAAAAAGCCCTTACCCTCCTCTCCAGGAAAAAAAAATCCTGATCTAAAGAAAGAGATTGGTTTACATAAAATCCTATTAGCTTAGCTGATTGCTTCCAAAACATTTCTGAGAAAGCCTTCCATTACCATACAAATGGTGCTGGGCCTTTTTGCAGGCTAACTGCTAGATAGCGTAATGATTTGGGCAAATATTCATCAAGACAGCTGCTTCTGTGAGAGAGGATGTGAGACTGCTGCACGCCTCTTAAGAAAAGCACAAGAAATTGCTGATTTCCTTGAAGCCAACAGCTCCAGCAGCAGCAGCAGCAGCCCTCTCCTTGCACCATCATGCCAGCACCCAAAATGTGTGGGGGAAGTCTGTGGGTCTATGGAAAAGGAGGAGGAGGATATGGAAGAGAAAAAGGAGGATTTAAGAGCAGAGATGGCATGGTGGTGGATAGCCCAGCAACATCAAAAGAAGTGGGAGTAAAGAGCTCATTTTCATGGCTTGGTTCTGTAAAAAGGGAGCTCAATGCTGAGGGCCCTGCAAGCTCTGCAGATGCTCTGCCAAGCCAAAAAGGCCTTTGATTCACAGATAAGTGCAGTGCTCTGCAGTCATGTGGGTGCTGCCTGCCCCCTTCCAGCAAGCACAGCAGATTTCTCAAACACCCCCCTGAGGTGCTTTGGCAAATCACTCAGTCATGTGAATATGAAAAGGATCCAGACTGAAGGCAACATCGTAATATTGGAGGGACTGATTTCAGTCCTGAAGGTCCCTAAATCTGGAAAGAGTCTGCACATAGCTTGTTTTCTCTTATACTTTAGCAATAAACATTGCCATCACCTTAAAGAGAACAAATATCTCATTAATCTCAGTCACCCAGTACCAATCAGATTCAGAAACAAATTCTGCAGGCAATGTAAAAGCCACAATCAGCCTCAGTGGCCTTATATTAAAAAAAAAAAAAAAGGGGGTGGGGGGATAGAATAGTAAGAATGCAGCATAAGACAGAAGTGAAAATTAAAACACTCGACAGCTAATCCAGAATACATTTCACAGAATGATAGAATCATTAAAGTTGAAAAAGACGTCTAAGATCATCTAGTCCAATCCCATCCCATCCCCTCCATGCGCCCTAACCATGACCCTCAGCACCATATCTCCACAAATCCACCTCCCGGGACAGTGATTCCACCTCCTGAGCAGTCTGTTCCCTGGGCAATCTGTTCCATTACGTTACAACTTCTTTTTCCACATTTTTTTTCCTAATATTCAATCTGAACAATGTGATTTCCTGTTCTAATAAGCCAAAATGGGAAGAAAACATAGAAGAAAATATAGAAGAACTACTATACTAACAAGGCATTATCAGCCATTGCTGAAATTAAAATAAAACATCAAATCCCTGGGACTTGCCTTCAAGAGCGTGTTTCAATGGGATGCACGAGTCCAGTAGGTGCCATTCTGCCTTCTTGATAGAGGTGATGCAAGATGACACAAGGAGGCACCAAGGGACCATCCAACAAAACCAGGTCTTGCCTCAACCCCAGACTGCTGGAAGGATGCATGTGCTCAGGGATGGCCTTCCAAAATGGTGCACTCACGAGCAGTGTCCGCCCTGTGCCTGTGCAGTGCTGTACGAGGCAATTAGTGACTCCAGCACACCACTGTCAACACCATCAACACCAGCAGTAACTTCCACACACATTCACAGCCACACCTGCCATATTACAGGCTTGCAATTTGGTAGCAACTCTTCTACCACCTCATGTGAGTCCTACAGGATGTAGGATCACCCAGTGTAACCAACTTACCCCACAAGCAGAGCTCAGATCTGATCCTGCAGATCAACAGATAGCAAAAAATGTCTGTATCTGCTCTCAGCCAAACTTTCTCTGCAGCATAGATGTGTGACCAACGGAAGGCAGAAGGCAGCAGAGAAAAAAAAAATCTCCTCTCTGCCCACACTTCAACCCCCTGCCCAACATTTTCCAGCTGCAGCCTGTCACTGACACCTGGGAAGAAGCAGAGAGAAGCCAATAGGAAAGACAAAGAAGTACTCTCAGCACATATTGGGCCAGTTGTGTGCTTGGGTGGGAGGGAAAGCCCTTGCTGGCTTGAGCCCCCTTCCCATCTGCTCCATAGAGGGGACTGACTGAGGCAGCAGAGCGTGAGATTTGATTACAATTACTGTCTTAACACAGAGTTGAAATTGTTCTGAGCATGCAGAGCTTCTGGGAGCAGGCAGGCATCCAAAACAACCTTTGGGCTGCAAATTCCCTGACCAACAAACGGCACAAACTGACAGACGCAAAATCCTTTGGTGGCCACTTTCCATCAAACAGGGTCATCCCCTCCACTCTGCAATCACTCCAGACATCTCCCATGTCCTCTCCCGCCTGGGCAGAAACATTTTTCACAAGGAGGAATAAACTAAATTTGTGGTGGAGGGATGAACAAGCTTGACATGGTTAAGCCAAACCTGGTAGCTACAGGGCTGGACCTCTCTCTTCCTAGTTGATGCCAAACACCACGATCCTGGACTGCAGGAACACATTGAAGACCACAGCCAGGTCTGTAGATGGAACCCCATCCCTGGAGACACTCAAGGTCCAAGGCTGGACAAGACTCTGAGCACCTGAGGAGATGTAGGTGCCCCTGTTCGTTGCAGCGGAGTTGGACTGGACGGCCTCTATGGCTCCATTCCAACTCAAGCAATTCTATGAGCCTGTTGGATGCATGAGTGGCAGCAAGGTGTTACTGTGGAGTGACACAAAGCTCCTGGTAGTGCATATCCCTGCAAACTCTTGCAGGGCTCTTTGTAATGAACAACACCTGCAGCTGAAGGTGCAAGAAGCCAGATGCAGGGAGCACACCGCCTGCTCTGGCCATTCCTTTTCCCCTTAAACTCCAGAACTACTGGAGTAGTACTTACTACTCCCCTGCTCCTCATTAAATAATGCTTCTCATTAAATAACAACTTGGAGGCTGTGCAAAACTTTGGATAGTTAGCAATGCATGGTAATGAGAAATAACAGGTTTGCTGTCTGGGACATATAGCATTGTGCATCCTTGGAAAACATGTTTTCAGCAATCCCTGCCATGAGTGGATAGGCTTTGTTTCCTAGGATGGTGCTGGTGGGATAGCAGGGCTCGGTGAGCACCGGTGGGGTTTACACAACAGTTGGCCAGTGTGCACACAACTTAGGGGTTTGGCTGTTGGCATCCATGAAGCAGGATTTGATCTTTCCCCTGAGCCTTGCTAATACCCAAATACTGCAAAGGAAAGTAAACTACTTACGCTATTCCAGGTGGGCAAAGCACTGTGTAGGGTAAGAGCTCACATTAAGTCAATCCAGGAGAATTAGCTGTTTCTTCTGGCTGCTCTGTCCTGCCTAATTCCAAATCCTCCAGGAGTTATTTCACCATAGCATCTGTACAATGAGCTATGAAATTCCTCCTGTGCTGACTTGGCCATGGGTACCCCTGCAAAGGAAATCCACTTAAACACCTTCAGAGTTGGAAAGGACATGGATAACCTGCAAGCAGATCACACTGACTCTGTGCTGAGTTCTAAATGAAAGTCCTTCTCAGTGCCTCATGCTATATTTCCCCCTTCCAGCATTCTCCTTTTGAGTCACAATTTCTCCTGATGTTTGGAAAAGCAAATGGCAATGAGACGCGTGAAGCCTCTGTGACCTTGCCAACTGTGAACCAGCCTCCCTGCTGGGAAAGGTTCTAGGGAAGGAAATTCAGGACAATGGAAGCAGGTGCTGCCAATATTCAGCTCCAATATTTCTGTCAAGTGCAATGGGTTTTTGTTTGCCTCACCACTGCGTGCGACCTGCGAGCTCTGCCCATGGCGCCCTCCTCCGAGCTGTGTTTCTGCACATCTCTATCACTCTGTGTGGTCAGAGAAAGCCCTGTCCTTGGCTATAGATGCTGAACATTTAAAGATAATTTATACATTTCAGCACTTTATAAATCTGTTTATGCAAGGATCCAGCCGGATTTCCTCATTTTGTAGACACAAGAAAATATTTTTTGCTTGGTTCAACACAACCGTTTGTATTCATCTTTACTGATTTCACTATTGTTTTCCCTTGCTCAGCAAGATGCTTAATTGTGTATTTGATCTTTACTACTTAACCAGATCTATTTATCATTACAATGCATCACTACATTATAACGCTTTCAGGCACATTTATCAGTATAACAAAGCTTGCACTACATGAGAGTCCTCCAGGGAAATAAAGCAACAACAACAAATAATTTAATGCAATTCACTTAACAGTACAAATATTTGTAATTATAAAAATCCTTAAGTGTGCTTCATCCATAAATGGCACATTTTTCTTAAAATTGCTCTCATAATCTGGCAGTGCCTCCAATTTATGCAGCTTATGGTTTTCTGACATTGAAGAAAGCAAGGCCAAATTCCCTGGTTTGTTATTTCTTTCCTTTTGCTAATGTGAAGGCAGAGCTCACATTTGCTGACGTGCTATTGAAAATTCAGTTACACCTAATAAAATGGGAACATTTAAACACTACTGTGTGATTAATAACTGCCATAAATACACTACAGTGTGAATGCAGTGTTACTGATTGCTGCCAGCCATGTGTGAACCAAGTCTAAAACAATCAATTAACCATTACTTGTAATGTCTGTTAATCATTGATCAACCTGTTACAAATAACAAATACATTCCCCTTGCTGTGAAATGGGACCACCAGGCTATATTGCATTGCTATACATGCTTCCCATGCCTATCCAAGAAGAATATTTGTTGTCAATTTATTGTGATTTTGGTACCATTTTTATATATTTAACTTTTTTAGACAGTAGGTTCTGTTTCTGCTTTTGTCTCATAGCAAGGTACTGCAAACTGAAGGACATCCTAGGAAGTCAGCTTTACAGCTGAAAACTGTCATGGCACAAGGAAGGCCTGGGGATATCTACTTTATCTTATCATGCACTGAGTTATACTACAGTTACCTATTGTCATGGTAGGGACCAGCAGCACTTTTCAGACCTCCAGCTGGACTCCTACCTACCATGAAGTCTCTTGCTTCCAGACTGTGACAATGGGAGACTCACAACTCACCTTTTCCAGATCCATCGCACAGCTGAGACGGCCAGAATTCCTTTAGGCCACAAGAACTAAAAACAGAACGATCAACACAGATATTAGAACATCAGCATCAAGATTAAGAAGTCATGTAATCAAAAGCTATTAAAATCCAGACTTCAGGTATTTTGTGAAACCTCAGGGCAGTATGAGCATGAATGGTGTGACCCTGAAATAACAAGCATTGGGCACAGCATCATGCACTGCCTTTCCTCCAGGAGACCAGTGCTCCACTCATGAGAGGCTGATCAAAAATCTGCATTGTGTTCACCACTTTTGCCTATAGCTAGTATTACTGTGTGGCAAATAACCATTGCAAACACACCTAATTTTAGCCTGCAGACACATTGTAATGATTGCTTTGCCAAAGACAGGGAGAAGAAGAGTAATTCCACTTCTGCCTATGTTTCTCACTGTTCTAAACGGGGAAATCTCCACCACATTCTAAAACATGGCAAAACAAATTCTCTGCTCTTTCAGGTGAAAGCCAATGGAGAGGGAGGGAAACAACACTGATGGGCACCACAGAAGCTCCATGTCCCAGCAGCTCTAAGAAAGAGGTACAACACCCACCCAAATAGGCACAATAAGCAAAGCAGTGAGCTGCATGGCCGCAAGTAGTGTTGTTAGGGAATCATAGAATGGCCTGGGTTGAAAAGGACCACAATGCTCATCCAGTTCCAACCCCCTGCTACGTGCAGGGTCACCAACCAGCAGACCAGGCTGCCCAGAGCCACATCCAGCCTGGCCTTGGATGCCTCCAGGGATGGGGCATCCACAGCCTCCTTGGGCAACCTGTTCCACTGCATCACCACCCTCTGTGTGAAAAACTTCCTCCTAATATCTGACCTAAACCTCCCCTGTCTCAGTTTAAAACCATTCCCCCTTGTCCTATCACTATCCACCCTCGTAAACAGCCGTTCCCCCTCCTGTTTATACGCTCCCTTCAAGTACTGGAAGGCCACAGTGAAGTCTCCCTGGAGCCTTCTCTTTTCCAAGCTAAACAATCCCAGTTCCCTCAACCTTTCCTCATAGGAGAGGTGCTGCAGCCCTCTGAAATAGGGCAAGAAGAGCAGGACATGCATGAGAGTATCTGAGCAGAGCCAGCCAAGAGCACTGCTGTCACCATAGAGAGGAAGAGTGGGAACTGGAAACTTCCCTCTGAGGGCCCCTCAAAGCTACTGAGAAATAAAATAAAATAAATTAAAAAAAAAAAAAAAAAGGAAAACAGCAAAACAGCTCAGGAAGGAAAACTGTAATTTGAGACATCTCCAGTGGGCAAAAGCACCACGGCCTATCCCACGAAAATCAGACTGTCACAGAAACAAACAGCATAACCCATGCATTGGCTTTGAAATGTACCGAGTGTGCCACTGCTGCCCTGCTGCTTTCTAACTTGCCTCTGTTGGAAAACATTTGGAGCAGGAACTACTTCCAAATATCTATTTACATATTCATAAAGACAAAAATGCATTTATAGAGCCTCTTTACAGAACAGGTGCAAGGTCTTTAAGCCCTCTAATTCAGAAAGATTAACTGCATTCTGGGCTGCAATTACCAGAGGAGCTGACACCCCTTTATACCCTGCCTCACTGGGCTGCCTAATTCTCATCCTCTTCCAGCTCTGAGATACAATGGCAAATTCTGCTGTTGAAGGGCCGCCAGCAGGGTTTGACCCCACACAATATGTATAGCGAGGGTCATAGAATCACAGAATGGTTTGGGTTTGACGGGAACTTAAGGCCCACCCAGCCCCAATCCCCTGCTGTGGGCTGGGTGCCCCCCCACCAGCCCAGGCCGCCCAGGGCCCATCCAACCCAGCCTTGAGCACCTCCAGGGATGGGGCATCCACAGCTCTCTGGGCAGCAGTGCCACAGCCTTGCAACCATCCGAGTAATAAACTTCCCCCTGATACCTAATCTAAATCTCCCCTCCTTTAGTTTAAAACGATTTCCCCTTGTCCTATCACTAACAACCCATGTAAAAAGTTGGTTTCACTCCTGTTTATAATCTCCCTTTAATTATTGTAAGGTCATAATGAGGAATAGGATCACCGGCCAGCCTTGGAGCTGGTAGTCCTCATGTACTACGGGCAGAAGAGGCATGCTTACTTGGAGCTGGCTGGGGAAGCAAAGTCAGAGAAGTCAGAGTAGGAAAGCCAGCAATGGCTGGAGAAGGCCAGGACAGGCCAAGGAAGGAAGGCTAGGAAAGGCCAAGGCAGACACGACAGATACTTTGCTACCCAGCAGCATGCCCCCGTGGCCTGTGGCCATGCCGTCAGCATGTCCAGCAGCTTTATGGCTGTGAGAGAGAGGAAGAAAGGCAGTAAAAATGCAGTGTACAGAACAGAGGAACACAGAACATGCAGGCGTTGAATTTGCAGAAAATTCAGTAGAAAAGTCCATGTAGAACATCACCCTGGTTCTACAGAGCCAGGATGTAGTCCTGCATGAAACAAAGAACAGCAAAAGGTTTCTGAGACAGGAATTAGAGCGAATTGGAGCAGCACTCTGGTTTTGCTCCTGTTAGTGGTTGGTGAGGTGGAAGCTTAGGCCACTTGTGTCACCTAAACCAAAGGTTAATCCAACCCAGGTGCCATCCCCCACCTCCAGCAGCTCACATTCAGTGTTACACTGCATTCTTCTCACGCATTCCAATATATTTAACAATATATATAAGCAAGGGTCAGACCACAATTTGTGTCCTCTGATGCATTCAGCCAGCAGCAGGCATGCTGTTCCTTGCCAGACTGAGCAGACACTGCATGTCTGCAGGTCCAGACTTCTGGAATGAACATTATTAAAAATGAATTTTGAAAATAAATCTGTCACTTAAAGGTGTCCTAATAGAAACAGCAGGGTTGTGCAAGAGCAGAGTGGCTCATGGTTACTTTCACAACCTGGATCATAGAATCATTAAGAGTTGGAAAAGACCTCTAAGATATCTAGTCCAGCAGCCACCTACCACCAATACTGCCCACTGAACCATGCCTCTGAGTACTGCTTCTACCCTTTCCTTAAACATCTCTAGGGATGGTGGACTCTGGACACCTGTTCCAATGTCTCATCACTCTTTCTGAGAAGAAATTCTACCTAATATCCAACCTGAAATTGTAATGAGAAACCAAAACACCTTTAAACAAAGCATGAGTGATGAGGCCCCGGCACTGCTGCCCAGCCATCTGTGGGTGCCCCATCCCTGGGGATGCTCAAGGCCGGGTTGGATGGAGCCTGAGGGGGGGAAACCACAGGCAGGGTTGAAATGGAGGGGGGTTAAGATCCTTTCCAACCTAAGCCATTCTATGGTTCTATGATCCCAGATGTGCATGAAAATTCAAGTAGGGTGTCTGAAGCAATGAAAGAGGTCCCTATTGAATATTGGTCTTTCAACAGGCATAGGATTTTATTTCCTCTGGAAAATGGGACCGGATCTAGCTACTAGTTACATGATGCAGAACAGTGCCTTCATACTTAGAATTTGCAAAGGCTGAAATCAAGCTTTGAGTCATAGTGGAGATTTTTTTCATCTCTTACCTGCACTTCTCACAACACAAAGGCTGTATCCTGTGATTGCAATAGCTGGTCTGTGAGAGGAAGAGAAAAAAACAAAGTTGTTAAGAACATGAATTCTTGGAAATCTGCAATTTCAACAAGCCATTTCGAAGGATAGGCCTTTCAACTTCGTGCTTGGAATGGAAAGTCGTGGCCTTGCAGTTAATTACGTTTTGCTGTCATTTAAAGATAAATGCATCATTGTAACTTCAGAATACGAGGAACTCATTTCACGTGTAGTAGAGCTATAAAACATGACAAATCAAACACCAAGTTGACTGAATCCCATTCTTAAAAGAACTTAGAGATGCCTTGAAGTCCACACAAATCAAGATTTTAATACAAAAAACTACTGATAATAGCAAAATACCAGAAAATACTAAAAGTAGATTTTTTTTTTCCTCTTGTGTTTTAAGAGCAATGAAATATAGCAAGGACTGGCCTTTAAATCAGGGCTCAACCAAAATTCTACTCAATAGCAACGAGGATTTCCTGCGATGCTTTTAAGGGTGCTAAAGAGCCAACCCTGCTCCTTGTTCCCTTCTGGAGAAGGGAAAACGCTGCAAAGCTGGCAGCTGTGTGGGAGGCACCTGTGCTCAACTCAACCAATGGCACCTGGTGGGACTTCCTGAAAAGAGGTGGAGGAATTTGGAACCATACAGCTCAGATGTCCATCCTCTGTAGATCTATTTTGGGATATTGATTTGCTGCCCTAATTCCCAGGGTTTGTCCAGGGAGGAACAGCTCCATCCCATTTTCCCAAACAATGTAAGATGTCACTGAACATACAGAGAAGTAATCTTATTATCGTCACTGTCTACTTCCAATACATCATATTTAACACATTGAAAGGGCTCTGGGGACAATTTAATAACCTTGTTCCTTTAGATTACTTTAAACCTTTGCAGTTAAATATATGTATTCATTTAAATACATTTTTAAAAACACTTTCTTACTTTATTTCTTGAGCTGAGTCACTACTCCCAACTGGTGGAGCTTATCAGATTCAGGCAGCACATGAAAGAGGTAGTCAAAGACTGCAAATAACAAATGTCTTCAATGGATTGTCGTGCTGAGAGAGTTATGTACATCATCTTAGAAATGTCTCAAATGCCTCTCGTCACCCCAAGGACACATTTCAGCCTGTTTAAGGTGGCCTTGGCATAAAACAACACAACTCCCTCTGCCAAAACAAACAATACTTTGAGAAAACACTCCATTAAAATTCTCAGCAGAAATGTGAAGGCAAAAAAACCCCAAACTGCTGAGAGTGGATCTGAATAGACATAAATTAACAGCAAATGGAAACTCCAGATGAGGAAACGCATATAGAAATACCAATTGAGAGATCTCAAGCTCAAAAGCAGATAGAAAGGAGAGAATATTGAGTTTGGGAAAATACTGTGCATGGCAGTCAGTGCACAAGAGAGCTAAAAAATGACTGGTCTGATTTGAGCTGGAACTCGCAGAAGAGAAAAAGTACAATTGACCAAAGGCCACCTTTTTCTAAAACAGGAAAGAATTTCACAAATACATTTTGTGTTCCCAGAACACAAACAGGCCGTGTTCTGTAAGAGGCAGATACAGAAACAGAGCAGATCTGTGAGATGATAAGAAAAGAAAGACTTATCTGCGAGAGCAGGACTGCTTCAAACACTTGGGACGTGCACAACTTAGAGCTTCCACCACTGCTCAGTTCTACTGCAGCCAATACAATTTGCAGACTGAGAGGACAATGAATTAAGTTCTTCAAGCACTTTATGACTTCACAGGAATAAATTTTCCAAGGAAACTGGAAAGCCAACGGAGGCAAGAAGAGCTAGCAGCCTCAGAGATGAAAAATCCTGCCATTCCATCTGCAGAAGAAAACTAAGAACTATGCCATTCTAAATGACAAAAATAGAGGGCCACAAAGGAAATGATGTACAATATTGTGTATCTGGTAATGACAGAAACTGGAAAAGTAAGCAGATGAATAATACAGCTTGGTCTTCCTGGAAGATGTGTCACTGACCTCAGTATAAAGGAGGATTGGCTAAAATATAACATGCTCACCAACACAGGTCAGCCCACATGACCTCATGTTCAACATGAAACAATAACTGGAATTCAGAGCCAGGGAAAGCCAAATTAAATAAAGTGGCTTAAAAATTGCAGCCAGGGTTATTTTGCATTTCAGCAAACTATCAAAGGAAACAGCAAAAAAATAACAAAGTCACTTGACATTTTAATTAAAGGGACAAGAAATCTTTCTGAAAGGTTTACTTAATTCAAAACAAGATACCAGGTTTAACAAAGAATCACAAGACATTCAGTGGCTTAACAGAGTAGACAGACAAATGATCCAGTATTCTCTGCCAGTATTCTCCGCCCTTAAGTCCAATGACTGCTTCTTCCCTGCTTTCTGCCTGTATGTTTGATTTTTGGCTTTTTCCTCTCCAACTCACAAAAGGTAGAAAAGTGGGAGTGAATAAAGGAAACACCGGCAGTGCTGCCCTCTCCTTCAATGAGAACAAGGACCTTATCCAAGAGACCACTGAGATTAACAGGGGAAGAAAATTCTTTGGTCTGAGGCAAGAAGCGAGTGGGTAACAGCAATCTCACTCATTTGGAGAGCCAGCCTTAACTGGCTTGAGGTGGAGAGCTGCATAAGAAAACAGAGCACTTTCTCCTTATCTCGTAGTATGGTAGCAGACCTGTTATGACCCTTGAACAGTGTTCTTACATTATGGATTAGGAAAAAAGTTACAAAATCTAACAAAAACAAGTGGATGGAATTTCAGGATTACATCTGATACACTATTAGAAACCTTTTCCAGAGTCTCACTGCTGATAAGACATCTTTTCCCAATCTCCATTTATGCTTGTCCACATCAGTGTTTCTTTTGCATTTCTTCCTCCTCCTCAGCATCTCATTATTTATACAAGTCATTTTCCTCACTGAGCCTCTGCTTTAATCTTCAAAAAGCCAAGTTACTCCAATTTCTTCTCACCTGATAAGCCCCCTCCTCTTCAGCCATTTGGAATCTGCTACAACCTCAGCCAGAGCTCCTCCCTTTGAAGGTGCATGGGCAAAACTGCCTAGCAAATGCTCTATGTCCTGTGTAGCATCACTGATTTGCTCAATCACTACAAAAAAATAATTCACCTGTTGTATCTGCAATCACTTTTTTTTTTTTTTTTTTTTTTTTTTTTTTTTCCCCACAGCTGCCCCATAGCAGCAATGAATCAGCCCCAGCATGGGAAATGCTTATAACTCCTGACAAGTCTTTGTTCTGACTGCATGTGTACAGCTGGCACCTTCCCACTACTGGCAGCACCCAGCTCTTGTGCAGTCCCCAGTGCCTCTCCGTGTCTCTTGGCCACAATCCTTAATTTAGGCAACACAAAAAATCAGAGTGCCTTCAATCACCTCCCCTGTCACCCTTCATTTTATCTTCCAGTACCACCTCAGGCCATCTCCCCTTGCCCTCCTCTGCCATTGCCTATTCAGTTGCTATTTTCCCACTGACTTGTGCACGAATTCTTTCCAGCACATACATTACCAGATGGAGGAAATCATGTTTCTACAACCTAGCAAAATCAGCTGCAAAAGATATGTTAGTATGAGAGAACGGGGTTTCTTTGTTTATTGTGGCACACTTTTCCAATTAGTCATTTACTCGGTTATTTTTATTTTTTACTTTCAAATTTGCTCTAAAGCTTCTCAGATGATAACCCAGAAGTCAGTACGCATTGGTCTTTTGTACTGCCTGGATGACTTTCCCCTTCTGCTCCAATAAAAGCAGGAAACTGGATTACCCTTCGGCAGTAAGACTGACAAATATATCTCAAGTACTAGCACAGAACTATTGAACATGCATCACCACAGCAGCAAAGCCCTGTTACACCCATCACTGCAGTATTTCAGGCTCAAATCCTGAAAAAAGCTCTGCCTGAGCAAGCATGGATGATGACCCCAACACTGTGCAGAACACTTCAGAGCTACATGCTGTAAATAGTGATGGCTTCCGTTCTTTTTTTCATTTATTGATTCACTGGAAACAAAGCTTACTTATATAAGCTCTGTCAAAACTGATGCTGGAGGAAGAAAACAACTGCCTTGGTTTTCCTCCAGAAATCTGGTTCCTTTGCTAACAAATTAAACAGTCAGCAATCCTTGGCAACCAGATGTTAAATGTTTGTTTACGTTCGTTCAAGAAGGTTCTTCAGTCCTGCAAAGAGTCATCTTAAGACGTGAATTACCAATGAAATACGACAATACACTTCAACTGCAGGAGACTGCATTTGATTTTTTTGTTTGTTTTTTTTTTGCCACACAGCTGACTAGCAGCCTCCTTCCACTCATCACGGAGACAAAATTTCACTTACCTGTTCCTTGAAAACAGACCCACAATTAATTATCCACCTTTCTTGATTTGCAATCTGCTGACATCTTCCTAACAGAACTGGAGGCCGTTTTGGACAGGAACTGTCTTCAGAATAGCTCAGCAACCGTAAGTGGGCAGCTATGCTCAGATTAATGAACTAACAAGAGACAACCTAGGAGGCTTGTCTCCAGATTCACGTCTCTCCAGTCAGTACTTCTCTCGCAGCAGCTCAATTTGCTCTTTACACCACACAGGGATGAAGGCCATCTCAAAGAGGTGAAGGCTTCCAGCTGAAAACCTGCCTGAAAAACACCGCCTGTGAAACAGACTCCTTCCGCACGACAAATGCAATCCCGTTCTGCCGCACGCCTCCATCATCCCAACATAAATAAAACAATGCACACTTCTCATGTTGGACTTCGGCAAAAGACGTTTATTATTATTATTGTCGTGGTGCTGTTGTACCTGCTCTGCTCTGCCCACAGTGGTGGCACAAACGCTGTTACCATATTGTAGCTGATGATGCCGACGCACAAATCAAAATCCATCTTAATTTCAAACTCCATTAGAAACACAGGAAAGAAGATCGACATTTACGAAACGTAAAGGGAAAAAATGGCATGGAAAGAAATTTTTTTTCTTTTATTTTTCAAGCTTCCAAGACGGTATTACAAACAACAGAGAGCAAAGTAAAGCTAGAAATGAAATACTTGACAGCATCTGTTTAAAAATTACAGCTAAGAAACCTAATAAAAGTTGAATAAACAGTTACTAGAAATAAAAATTTTTACACATATGGTATTTGTCTGGGATTTTTATTTCTTTAAAATAATTCATACAAATGGTTACAGTCACAAACATGATTTTAACCAAAATATTGCTAGCCTACCACATTACCAGGAAGGAATCAATGTAGGCAATGAAATGCTGCTACTTTTCAGTAGTCTAGTGCCTTTTTCTCATACCACCAATAATATATACTTTAACTGGTGACAAAAAGCACAATGCTCGTTTATACAAAACCTTTTTTTTTTTTTCCTCAAAATCTCTTTGCAAGGTTGTCTTCATTTTGAAACAAGGGAATTCATGCCAAAATTAGGAGAAATGGTTTTTCTGTTGTTTACTTAATTATTCTAAAAAATAAGACAAGCAGGTAGAAAAAACAATGCACTGTGTGGCGTAGAAAGAAAAATGGGAAAAATTCGTTGTCCTGAGAAGTTTGCCAACTGCCTCATTTTGGGGCATGTTTTAAAATATAAAAGAAAGGATTTTTAATCTCAAAATTGGTTTGCTGAATGCCTCCCTTACGTTTTTCCTTGTTGACAGCTAAGCAAACAAACCCTTTTTAATGTTCTAAAAACTGTACACAGACAAGTACATTCATGATATAATTAACTACTAACTTCTCTTGCTTAACAAAGAACCCATAGGACACAGAAACAGTGAATCAGTTCACTGGACAGGGACAAACTACAATTTATACGGAGGAAAAAATGTTTCCAAATCTTCTTTTTGTCTCCCACCTTTTCCTTTTATACTGTATATTGGACCAGTTTCTAAACCAATCATCGTCTCCTCCTTTAAGTTCATGGTTTTGCCTTGATCAAAATCCAGGGTTTTGTGTTTGTTTTGTTGTTTTCTTTTCCATACGCTGAAGTTGAAATCTCCGATGTTGGGAATGCTGTTTTCGTAGGCTACAATTGGTCGCTTGGGTGGTCTCTATCAGCTTCTGGTTTGACAGTTTGGCCGGGAGAAGGAGCATGGGGCGGGTGGGCTACAGCAGGGAGGCCGTGTGATAAAGACATAGGGTTGGGGACAATTCCTTCTACTGCTGTAGGTATGCCAGTCGGAGCCACACTTACAACACCTGGGGGATACCTGCTGAGAAGAGAAAATGAGAACATTCGTTACAACCAAGTGATGGCTGAAAGCAAAGCCCACCTTGCCTCCTCAAAAAGGTACGGAGATGTTTATTTTACTCTCAGACCGGTGAGAAACACAGTTGGTTAAGCTGAAGATAAGATGCCATATGTGGATCCTGTCAAAACATGCTGTATGTTACTCAAATGAGAAGTAAGATTTGCTACATTTTTCTTTTCTTTACGATTTCAGATTTAATAGCAAGCATCCTTCACAAAGTATACCTCAGCAAGAAGCAACTGAGACTAGACCTGCACACACAAAAGTACCTGTCCTCTGACTTTTCATCAGCGTGATCTTTGGAGACATTTTTCTCATTCTCATACGCAAATTTTGACATTTCACTGTTGCAGCTTGAATAATAGAATCATTAAGGTTGGAAAAGACTTCTATGATCACCTAGTCCAACCATTCACCTACTGCCAACATTGCCCACTAACCCACGTCCCTCAGTGCTACATCTACCCTTTCCTGGAACACGTGCAGGGATGGGGACTCCACCACCTCCCTGGGCAGCTTGTTCAAATGCCACACCACTCTTCCTGACAAATTCTTCCTAATATCCAACCTGAACCTCCCCTGGTACAACCTGAGGCCATTTCCTCTTAACTTATTGCTCTTATTTGGGACAACCCCCACCTTGCCACAACCTCCTTTCAGGGAGTTGTTGAGAGCTCCTGTGAGCCTCTTCTTCTCCGGACCAAACAATCCCAGACTTAGGTGAAAAACTATTTCTTTAAACTTACCTTGTAATAGGAGCTTTCTAACAGTCCCCTATAAGAGCTATCACATTCACACTCTTAAGATGACAATTTCATGTCTATTACACCAGACTTTTTTTTTTTAGCACCAAACTTGCCATGCTTTTTGTCTGAAATTCAGTTACAACAGAGGCCAAGTGCTTTAGGCTGACTGCCTTCTTTTTAACCCAATACTGAAACATTGTGGGAACAGCTCTTTTTGCAGATACTTTGCCAGAGGAGCTCAGCACAATGATGGGGTCACTGTACACACACCTGGTCATCCTAAGAAAAACTGCTACAGATGGAACACTGACTGTTACCTGGGATGGATAACCAGGCTGTGAAAGACTGCACCACCTGCAGGCCAGAGAAATTTGTTCCCACTTGTATGCATATTCCCAGTCCTCCTATGCTCATTCCTTCTCCAGACAGTTTCCTTAGAATTAATTAGGTGTTGCTAATGAAATTAGTTGCTTGTTTCAGTATTTCCATTTGAATCTCACTAGTCAAATTTGCTTCAATTCCTAGGAATACTGACTATTATTTAAATTATTATTTTGTTTATTCAAATTTCATTTTGAAACAGCTTATCCATTACTCCAGGTGCACTATTCTATCTTATGACACACACAGACTGAAAATGGGTAGTGAAATACCTCAGTGTGAAACAACTCCTGAATGGTTACCATCAGCTAACTCTCATCCAAGTGTCTCTTAAGGATGAAGATATTTTCATTTTCTACATGTTAGAAGGCTGAAAAATATGTCAACGTGCCCATAAATTGCACAACTACTGCTTGCTAGCTGTCAAATTTCACTGCCTATAATCTGCTTTCACTGTGGCATGGGGAATGACACTGTCACTTAACAGGCAGCTTAGTAAGTACCCAGTAGTAACAGAAAAGCAGTGCATATGATGCTGCTTCACCAAAACTATTATCAATAGTTCTCAGAAATATCATCAACTTTTCTCATGGGATAGGTCCAGTTTGCTGAACCTTTTGTGTTGACAGGAAAAACATTTTGTTTTCCCCAGAATGGGACAGTATTCAGAAAATCTAGATTATATTCTGCTGATGAATGCTCCATGTTCCTTGTTAGTGATAATATCTGATACTTTAAGAGCCTCATCCTTTATCAAAACTCCAGTAAGTTACATATTCAGAATTAAATAGCCTTCCTAGATTAAGTTTACTGAAAAAAGCTATTTGCATTTTTTAACATATAAATTATTATATCAGGTCTTATCTTTTAATGCAACTACATGACTATGATACAGTTATTACACTGTTATTACATTACACTGCCCGTGACAGACTCCAGAACTCAGCTGTGAAGACAATCTTGTATTGCAGAGAGAAGAGTGAACTGATCATTCAATACAGTTTTTTCTAACTCTGTATTTAATAAAGCTGGTAATTAAGCACCACCAAATACTACTACTAAAACCAACTTCTTCACAAAGCTTGCTCTTCAAGTTTCACTTATTTTACACTGCAAAAAATAACAATTGCTTTCATTCACATTCAAAGCCTACTTTATCAGCCCTTCAAATAGAAGCCTCTAGGTATTTGCTGTACAACTCATCTTGTTCAAAATGTTCCAAGTGAGATCTACTTTGCATTTAAAAGCAATTGCAAAGTAACAGTTTACTTATTATTTTCTTCATTGAAAAAAACAACTGAAACAATGTCTAAAAAAAGCATTTAGTTCTGTGCTTATCCTGTTTACATTAAATACACAAGGATCTTGTACATCATTCCGGGCAACCTGATCTGAATGTGTATGTTTGGTGGCCCTGCTAGGCAGGGGGTTGGAACTACATGATCCTTGAGGTCCCTTCCAACCCGGGTGATTCTGTGATTCTGTGATTATATTCACAAATGCTCCTAAGTTAAAACCCGCTGCTAACTGTACAGCCTGCTTCTGCTGGTCTTTTGATTCCTAGGAGAGAACAACCAACTGTGTTTTATTTGGATACATACCCTGCTGCTTAAGTGCCATGACACAGCTGGAGTTACCACCCCCAGCTCAGGAACACCTGCCCTTAAGCCTCAGCTGCATTCAGATGTGCCCCAAGTCATCCAAATTTAAAGCAACGAAACCAAATGCTGCATGTTTGAACACATTTCAAATAAAACCAACTAAAAATAAAACCAGCTTTCTTCAGATATTTAGAGCTATGGGGGTACTTTATCCAAAATTATACACCTTGATGTGATCTGACGTATGTGCGTGTTGAGCAGACCAAAATTATTCTTTTCTTCTGACGTGCTTACAGCTACTGGTAAGGAGATTATGGCAGAGGACAGTGATTTTCTCTCTGTTATCTCTCCATCACTTCCTGAAGAAACTACTAGAACTCTGTAGACTTAAGAGCTATACCACACTTCTCAGTATTGCACAGCTGGGTTCTCAGACAGGATCATCCAAAAAGAATTCCTACACCCCTTAAAAGTAAGAGAAAGTCCTGAAGACAGACAACAATAAGAAAGATGTTCAAAGACTGAGAGCAGAAAGATTAGGAGAAAGAACTTAGAAAAAAAGTAATGGAAGTACTGAAAGTCCCATCCCTCAAGACACTGCCTTCCAGCAGCTGTTTGTAGCCTTCTCAGCCACTTCTATCCTACTTATGAGTAAATACCATACTAGAAGATAACAAGAATAAAATAAAATTGCAGACTTTTTTATAAATAAAAATTGCATGAAGCTTGCTACTAGACAAAATCTGCTGCTGGGTCAGCTGCTAGGGGTAAAGGGACAGAGAAAGACCATCAAGCAACCAAAGTAACTGAGGAATACTCAATGTTAAAAAAAATGGCCCTTCTATTTATTATTAAAAACTGCTTTTCAGAGTTGATTGAGATTGCACTGATCGAATCTCCCAAATGTCTGTAAGGAATATCTTAATAAAAAAAATCACAAAATTTACAAAACACTGCTTTAAGCATGTTTTCATAAACACTGCAGGCTATTCCACTGTACTTATTATTGAATTATTTATGCTCTTGTGTCTCGAGCACATAACAATACTTTATTATCCAAAATCTTTCTGTAACAAACTGCTGCATCACCCTTAGCAAATGAACACCAACTTCCACTGACCTCATTAGAGATGACCAAAACTGTTTCTGTGGAACATACAAAAGCTTGTGTATTGTTCAGATATTATTAACTACGCACACATAAGAGAAAGATAAGAAAGGGAAACATACCTAAGCACTGCATGTCTGATTTTAGCAGCTAGCAAAACACTATCATTCTCCCGAATGCAACAACTACGAAAACGACATAGCTGAAGCCTAATTCAGAAACACTTCATTTATTAATAGGAAGGTCCCTTCTTTCTACCTCTTCATTAAGCAAGTATTTCTTTTATGCCTGCAGCACACTTACCTGTATGCAGCACCATTAAGCTCTGGATGAACAACTCCGGGATCCATGCTGGCCCAATGTGTAGCTGCAGTCAAATGATCTTTGTTAACACAGTTTTTCAGACTGTCTGGAATACGACCTAGGATGAAGTAAGGGAAGAGAAGCAAATTTAAAAATATATTTTTGTAATTTAAAAATTTACCTATGTTAAAAACAGAGCCATAAAGTTTTGTGTATATAAAATACATAAAATCACACTATGAGCTCCATTTTTGATCTTTGCTGTTCCTCTTTTTTTGGGTGGGGACTTAATTACGAAAGCACTGCATAATTTTTTTATCTGTTTTTCTTTAACAGTCTCTTATACACAAAGTCTCAATAAATCCATAATCCCCAAGATGTACACTTCCCAATGAGCTAAAATCTGAATAAAGTCAGTCTTAGTTCAGTGTAAGACAAGGTACGTGCTCTGTTATGGGTTTTTATTTATCATTTATCTTCAGATGGTAGATGACGTGTGCAATCATTTACTGCATTTTCCAAACAGCTTCTCCCTTGACACCCTTTCCCCATTGTATTCCCCCATGTCATTCACATATTCAGCTTTATCCTACACTTCCTGTACTTTTCCTATATTTGTTTCTCTGCAATTCATTGTCTTTCTCACCTGCCTAACATTGGCCTCTGTTTGATTTTAGTACCCAACCATGTTCAAACACCGAAGTGATGACAGCTTCACTGTAAATCAATGATTTAGATCACTGATAGCACAATCACACCCTTTAATAAAACACAGGCCTGCCTTCTGAGGCACATATAGCTGGGTTATTGCACAATGTGTAACACAGAACTATCTTTGTGTAGCTGACTTCTGCTCAGTTTTCGTATCTTAGTCCATTAACATTTATTTACACATCGATCATTCCCCTAGCAGGTATGGTATGCTGGTTTGTGCAATTTTCCCCAAAGCTGTTTGGAAGTATCTAACAGATATACGACAACCTGATGAATGCAATATTTGAGTCCTTCGGGACTATAAGCACAAAGACTAATTCCAGCAAAGGGATGATCAGATTCTTTAGGTTACCTCTCAGAGAGAAACAGGCCTGTACAGGGCGATTTGGGTCAGGAGTTTCAGAGGTGCCTTTAATCACCATCCAGAGAATCCTTCCTACACCGAATATCAATGAAACTGAGTCATCTATCCTCCCTAAGCACAAGATACAGGACAGGCTACTGCCAGCGCTTCTTTGTACAGCAGAGAAATGCGTTGCCAATGAACCACTCTCAAGGTGACACAGACAGCCCTTCATGTCTGTAGAGCATTCAGCCTATATTGCCAAGGGGAAAACAGCAAAGTCCTACTAAAGAGAGAACATTAGTGCTTAATGAATCATTTTCCAGCATGAAAAACCTTCCTTTTATTTCAGGCTACAAGGGATTCAAACTAAAGCCAAATGGCTTACTCTTCTCATTTTATTTATTAGTTATGTCCTGAATATGCACTGCTATTTTTTTTTTTTAATGTGAATAGTTTACAATTACATGGTAGTTATTCAACAAAGAGACCTTGCCCTTAAAAACGACAGACTTCCTGTGGAATGCTTTAAAAAGAGAAACATCTAAAAAGGAGTACCAACTAACACATACTGAAAGCTTTGTTTTTACATGAGTTGTAATACAAGCATGGCTTGGAACAGCATGAAACTCTACATGCTTTATCTCCAAGTATTACAGCTTAAAGACACTGAAATTCCAGGCTAAGACAAATTTACAAATACAAAAATACAAAGAAAAATGAATCAAGGAAATTTTTGGGGACATCTAACAAAATCCACAGATAGACCACAGGCTGAGAGAGCAGAGGCTTTTCAGCCTGGAGAAGAGAAGGTAAGGAAGACATGACAGTAGACTTGCAGTATCTAAAGTAAGGCTGTAAGAAGGAAGGGATGGCTTCTCTTGCAGGATTTGTTGTGACAAGGGAAAATGGTTTCAAACCAGAAGAGGGGAGATTATTAGATTGGACATAAAGAAGTTTTTTACAATAAAAGTGATGAGGCACTGGCCCAGGTTGCCCACAGACGTTGTAGAAGCCCCATCCTTGGAGGCATTCAAGATCAGGCTGGACAGGGCTCTGAGCACCTGATGGAGCTGTAGGTGTTCCTGTTCATTGCAGGGGAGTTGGACAGATGGCCTTTAAGGGTCCCTTCCAACTCAAAAGATGCTATAATATACAATATCAGCAATATCTGGACGATTTGCAGTCAAATCCATCACGTGGCTAGTACTTACAAGCAACAGAGATGAAAAACTACATTTTCACTTCCTGCCTTCTCTTTGTAATTGTAATTATGATCCAACACAATCTGCTCATGCTGAGAACACTTAGTTGGTATTTACTGGTTTCTATGTTCCAAACATTAGAAGCAGTAAGCAAAGAATAAGTTTGGTTCTTTCCAGCATCCTTCAGGACCATTAAAAAGAAATACACAGTAAAGGACATGACAAGGTGAGTTAATACCTGTGATCGCCCTTCGGATCTCTCGCGCTGCTTCCTCCCGCATCTCAATTGAGGCTTGTTCACTATACCAGGCTGCATGTGGGGTACAGATCAGGTTTGGTGCATCCTTCAAGGGGCCCTGACTAAAGCTAAATGAAGATTTAAAACAAGATCAAATGACAAAACAAATTGGGGGTGGGGGAATAGGGAAATCCAGAGGGATTTGTATATACATTCTACTAAATTCTACAATAGAAAATAATTGCTTTTATATTCCTTGTTGGTTTGTTTTTAACTCCATCACTACATAAAACGTCTCATAGACTCAAAGAGTACAACTTAAGTAAAGTAGCACTAGTAGCAACATTAGCTTCCGTTCAATGCACTTATTGTTAACTACAGCCACTGTCGTTCCAGTATTCATGCAGAGATGCATTAAGCAAGACCCAGATTAATTCAGGATGCCACTCTGTCCATCCATCACAGTTTTATTACATTAGCTAACAAAGCTTTCTCTCTCAAGAATCACTGTCTGGCACTTAGTCATTAAAAAAATAACTGTTATTTGCAAATTGATTATTGACACAGGCTTGTCAATCAGCATCCCCAGCTTTTTGATAACTAATTCACTTTTTCTATTATTTTAAACTACTTCTTCTTTCATGTTTTGCATAAATTCTACACAGAAAGAAGGAAATTTACTTGACGGATCGATTTTCAGGGAAAGCAATGAATCTATATAATGTGCTTTCAGAAATACAGAGTAAGAAAACTGAAAACAGTGGGAGCTTGCTCCTCCTACCTATTTTCAGTTTTAATAATCCTCAGTCAAGTGCAACACTGGTAGAGCTCATATTTTAAGACAAAAGTGTGCTTTCAG